GAACACCAAGACTTTTTAGTAAACCGTGAAGCCACTTTAATTCGCACGTAAGTGTATCCATTGCCCGGTATTCTGCCTCAGCGGAAGAACGAGCTACAGTGTGCTGCTTCTTGGTCCGCCAAGAGAGAGGAGAGTGACCAAGCTGGACAAACCAACCAGTAAGCGACCGACGAGTGGTAGGACAAGTCGCCCGATCGGAATCGCACCAGCCATAAAGTTGTAAATCACAATCGGCCCGAAGAAGAATACCTTGGCCCGGAGTACCCTTCAAATAACGAACCACACGCAGGGCAACGTCTCAGTGAGCCTGACGAGGCTGGTGCATGAACTGAGAAAGCATGTGCACCGCATAGGAGAGATCGGGACGAGTGACCGTTAAGTAAATCAACCGGCCCACTAAACGCCTATATTTCTCGGGGTCAGAAAATAATGGACCGTCCGCCAAAGGGAGCTGATGGTTATGCTCCATTAGAAAATCTGCTGGTTTCCCTCCTAGTAGACCAGTTTCGCCCACAATGTCAAGTGCATATTTCCGTTGACACAAAATTATGCCAGAGGAATTCCGAGCTACCTCAATGCCAAGAAAATATTTAAGAATGCCAAGATCCTTCATATGAAAGCACTGACCCAAATAATTTTTGAAAGAGGCAATAGTGGCCGGGTCACTTCCGGGAATAATCAAGTCATCAACATAAACAAGAACCTGCAAATCCACACCGTCCCGATGAAGAGTAAATAATGAATAGTCCGACAACGACTGTTGGAAACCATACTGCTTAAGAGCAGTACCAAGCTTGGCGAACCAACACCGAGGAGCTTGTTTCAAGCCATAGAGAGAACGCCGGAGTTTGCAAACATCACCAGAGCGTGGAGAGGAAAAACCGGGAGGAAGTTTCATGTAGACCTCCTCGGTTAGATCACCATGCAATAAGGCATTACGAACATCCATCTGATGAACCTCCCAGCGTCGTGCTGCCGCAACAGCCAAGAATGTCCGAACAGTTACCATCTTAGCAACTGGAGCAAACGTCTCCTGAAAGTCGATCCCTTCTATTTGCCGGTTACCAAGAACCACCAATCGAGCCTTGTACCGCTTGTTGTGTACAAATTATTTTATTTTACCGAGCACCGAATTAAATGATTCGTTTCCCGGGTCGATCTCTCGAGGAAAACTGTTCGGAATTTAATATTGGTGTTGATAACATATAAAATAAAAATAAAGCCTAAACATTCTAATCAAGATGAATTGGATAATAATTAACTAAAATATCAACTAAGAAATAACATAAAATAATAATCTAGCTAAAAATATAAACGAGACAATAATAAAGAAGCTAGGGAATCGGGAATAAATCGCTTCCAGTTTTACACTCATTCAACGGCAATCAATAACTCGGTTAAGTAGTTCCACTAACCAACTCATTTAGCGGTTCAACCATACTAACTCTCGTAATATATGTAAAAA